CGAGCGGGATAGGCACAACACCCACCCCCCCCAGTGGATCAGTCACTTATCCTTCTTTTCTCCATCCTGTTGGAAGTTTGGCCACACACCCCCATGTACTTGCCCAGTGTGTTTTTCAAGCTGTCGGGTCCAGGACCTGCGTCCTGGTCAGCCATGTGGGATCCAGCTCCCTTGAGCACTAGGCACAGGGCAGCCCAGATGAGCTCTTCCTTATATTCCCACCTGGACCAGCGTTTGCTGCCTCCCCCTAGATTACATTCCAAAACAGTGTGATCACAGGGAGCACAGATTTTTAAAAATTATTATTTAAAGTTTTGCTATCGGTTGTCCTGCTTGCCTGAGACAGAGAGAAAGAAAGTGAGAAGTCAATCCCCGGGGAGGGATGGCCACGCTGCAGTCTCTTCTCCTCCATGTTTTCCTTCAGAACCTTGGGCGTCCATGTACACGCACCAGCATAATTTTCAGAGTCTGGGACTCAAATAGCGTATGTAGTAGGCCGTGTGGGACAGTGCCGTAACCCCAGCCGCTTGCTGGCCCCATAGAAAGCGTACATTTTTAATAAGGCTTTATCATAAACTGTACAAACAGAACAAAGTGGAAACTTCAAGTTGTGAAGTAAGAACTTTCTTGTATCAGCATTATAAAAAAAGAGTTTCCAAAGACAAATGAAACATAAGCATTGGCCCAAATGTATTATCAACATGAACTACAAAAGGGAATTCCAGAAAAGAAAATGCTTAATAGTTAATGAAAGATATGGCACTACAGGTCTCACTTTTATTTATTTATTTTTGTTGTAGGGCATGTGTGCTTGCAAGAGACAGACAGGGGAGAGAGAGAGAGAGAGAGAGAGAGAGAGAGATAGATTACCCCTCAGAAGAGATTTTGGGCACACATGCATGCATACCTGGAGTTTTTATCAAGCAGCTGGGTCTGAGATTTTAACCTTGCAGTTGGCATTGTGGGATCCATATCCATCCACCTTAATCTTTGCACCATCTGCTGGTCTCATTTTTTTTTCCAGATAAAGTGTTTTTTTTTTTTTTTTTTAAGAGGGGTTTTTGCTATAGGGCACATGTGCTCACCAGACAGACAGAGAGAGACACAGAGACAGAAAGCGAGAAACCTGTTTTTTTCTTGGGCCTTTTGACACCCAGGGGAGATGGCCACGCCGCAATCACTTCTCCATTCTCCTCTCGGGATCTTGGGCACGCACGCACATGCGCCTGGTGTGAGTTTAAGCCGCCGGGTCCAGGACTTGAACTGTGGTTGACTACGTGGGAATCCAGCGACATAGCCATTACGCTAACTGCTGGTCCCCAATAAAGTTGTTTTTATTTTATTTTTTTAATTGCCAGAGGGCATGCACACTACCCAGAAAGAGACAAGAGAGATAGAGATAGGAAGAAAGTACCCTCCAGTGGGGTGTGGTCACATCTCAGTCCCTTCTCGATTTCTCCAGACTGTTGGGGTTTTAGGCATACACAGATGCTCACTGTATTTTTAAAGCTGTCAGACCCGGGACCCAAACTGTGGTTGACAATGTGGAATCCAACACCCTTAACCACTAGACTATAAGGCTGCCCCTCCTTTTCAGTTGAAAAGGCCTGTGTATCTAATATGCGAGGCACCCAGTGTTTGAAGGGCCTGCCTGTCTGTGGCCTCCCTGCCGGCCTTGCCTCTCGTTTAGACAGATGTGAGCAGCAGTCGGCACTTGCCAGCATTCAAAGAGAGATCACATCACACTAGTTTTGATTTTTCTGTTTGCCTACCTTTCTGCCTGGTTTTCACCTGGGCCTTTTTGACATCCACAGTTCCTGCCTGTTATTTTGCTAAAGGAGCACATTTTTCCAAGGAAAGGGCTACTGTTCTGTTGGAGTTTAAGCTTTTGGCTCACGGGGGTCTGAACTGTGAAATTCCATGATGTGTGCTGAAGACAGATCAGGAAAACCCACAAGGGCCCTGTTGTGGGTTCTAGAAGGTTCTGTGGGATACTGGCTAGGGTGTGGTGGAACTGGAGCTATTATCTGACACGTTGGGAACAGGTTATTGGCTGGGGGTCTCTGCAGCCCTGAGGCCCCAGGCTGCCCCGAGTGCCCCATGCTTGCCTCTCAGGACCTCCTGGTGATTGCGCGGCCTGCCGTGTTCTGGGCCTGTCCTTTCCATCTTTGTGTCCCAAGACAGGCCTGCCCACAGGTCTCATACAGGGCCCACTAAGTAGCCTCCTTCGATTGCAAGCCAGGGTAGCTGGTGCTTTGCCCTGCCTTTTTTCTTCCTGAGAGCTGTGCGTGGCACGGCCAGTGGCACGCCTTAGGTAAGGCACCAGCCTCTTAGATGCTCACTCAGACCCTGCAGAGGTGGTTGCCCCTTGGGACCGAACAGAGGCTTACAGGGGAGTGATGTGTATGAAGAGATGGCTGGGTGGGCGTGTCCAGGAGCAGTGACAGGGTGACACTCCCATGGGGGCTGATCGCCCTGAACAGCTCCTGGACACGGCCTTTGTCACCCAGCCGCGCTGCAGAGTTTCACCATGTTGACCGTTTCTCTGTGTCTCTCCCTCCCTTCACCTCTCTCTGCTTCGCCAGCGCTGACCAGGCCCTTGACAGATTTGCAATGAAGAAGTTTTACGATGACAAAGTTTCAGCTTTAATGCAGCCCTCTCAGAAACGGTATGTATGTGTCCCGAGCCGTGGGAAAAAGCAAGCAGGATGTGACGGATGAAACTGTGAAGGCAGAAAGGCCATCTCCTGTCCCTGTGCTGAGCAGTGTCCTTGACTTGTGCCAAGGAATATGAGGGAGGGGCTTGTTCATGCCCAGTGCTTTGTTTGAAGACAAGTCGTCCTGGAAGGTGTTGAGCAGGGCTGGAGAGCAGCCCTTTCTCCCCTTCTGTCCTACCCCCCTCAGGCTGAGGTCAGATAGAGCTGGGGCAGGCTCTGGAGGGGCAGGATTGGGAGAGGCAGAGAGGAGGGCCCTTCTTCCAGACAGACTTTCTCTGCCTGTACTGACAGGCAGAGCCGAGCACACATTTTACACCAGGTAGCAGGGAATGTGAGCAGGAATTGCAAGGCAATTGCCAGGTGGCTGTTTGCCTTGGAGACAGGAGAGTTGCAGCCCTGGCCCTGTGGATGCAGGCTTTGAGTCTGCCATCTGTGTTCTCTAGTCCATCTGAGCACTGCGTCCACATGCCGGGCGGGCATATGATTTGCATCCAAGCGGCAGAGTCAGGGGTGTACAAAGAGACTTTGAAAACTTTGTGGGAAGGTGGAGTTGAAGTACGAGTTTATTCTGGTGTAGAACAATGGTGAGGGGCTGAACAGTGGCACAGCAGAAGAACACAGCACTCTGAAACTAGCCCATGTGGAAGGTTTAGGGCTTGTGTTCAGAGACCTCCCTACATGTGCTGGGCACAGACATGCCCATGTTCGGGGCTGGCTGTGGGTGGATTGCGGCGTTGGCACCCTTTTGGTGATTGTCTTTTGGGGTGTTTGTCTCTCTCTCTGCTCACTCGTGAAGTAAATAAATACAAATTTAAAAATATTTAAAGTGGGACCAGCAGGTGGCATGGTGCTTAAGGTGCTGGGTGCTACCACATGGCTGACCACGGTTCAAGTCCTGGACCTGGTGTCTTGCTCTCTCACCTTCTCTTTCTCTTTCTGTGTATCTCTCTAGTCAAATAAAAAAAAATGAGTGAATGAATAAATAAAATTAAATAAATAATTAAAAAAAATTAAAGTTACTAACTTCCTTTTTTCTTCTCTTTGTTCCTCATGTTTCCTTTTTTCCTGAGGAGTCGGACAGCAGCATGTTTTTGGCTGTCACTTCAGGCTGGCTGGGGGGGGGGGGGGGGGGGGGTCGCGGGCTGGCTGGCGGAGTGGCAGGGAGCTGCCTCTGTCTTAGGGACACCTGCCATCTGAGTGTCAGCTGCACTGGTGGCTCTCGGGGGCCCATTGTGGATCCACCGAGACCACCATTCTCATCCTCTGTTCACTTTGGATATCCCCTTGAAGTAGCCGAAAGAAACCAAAAAAAAAGATCTTGGCATACAGAAATGAGGATCCTGACAGTATACCATGACTTGATTCTTGATATTTCTGTCACTTAAAAACATTTTTTTAAGTTTATTTTTCCCATGAGAGAGAAAGAGGAAAAGAGAACAAGGGACGGGGAGAGGGCACAGCAAGGTCCTCATGCCATGCTCCTCCCCAGTTTCAGCCAGCCAAATTGTAGGCACACGCGTACAAACTCCGTGAACAGGCACCTCAGGCTGTGAGCCCACGGCTGTCCTGTGCGGCCTTAGCGTTGCAAACATTGCATTTCCGCTGTGTCACTGTGACTGGCCTATTTCTGACACCTTTGACCTGATGTCTCAGATACTAGAAACAAGTCTTCAAAGATGCAAAGGGAAAAGGTACCCCAACTCCCCGAAGGGTGCTGCTATCTTTTGCCACTGTGGGCCTTCCCTGCATGGTCTCCTCACCCTCTGCCTGCAGAAGTGCAGGCGACCACTCCTTTGCACTTCGGCCACATCTGGCTGTCCCTCAGAGTTGTGCCACTCTGTGGGCCTGGCACCTACAGTCTGGCAGTGTCCCTCCAGGAGAAGGCGGGCTGGTCTCCATTCAGTTACCTAGTCTGACCCTTGTATTCATGCAGCTAACTCATACCCGCAGCAGTCCTGAAGCAAAGCTCCGTTATGGTCGCTGTTACTGAGGGAAAGGAGCACTCAGGAATGCTAAATACCTGTCCAGGCTCGGCTCTGATAAACAGGGCTACCCTGAAGTGGCCAGCCTGCATTTCCTGGCCAGTCAGTGCTACTGTTGCTGCAGCCCTGGCTCTGCGAGTTCTCTGAACGCAGAGTGGATGAGTGGAGGGAAAAGATGCCTTGTTACAATGGCTCCTTTTGCACAGGATAGCTGACTTTTTTTCTTTTTTTTTTTTTTTTCCAGTTTTGTAATTGAGATTTATTGGTTGTGTCAAGGATCAGTACAGACATTTCAATTTGTACCCAATTCTTAACGTACGTACCAAAAATTTAAAAAGCCAGGTATAGTGATTCTTTTTAAGTTATTCCAGTGACATTCCAGCTTCAAATTTGTAGGCAAATTTTCCTTAAGAGGATATCAAGAACCACTGTCTTCAGATGTTGAAAGCTGTTATGTAAGTCCCACCAAATCACAATTTAGTATCATACACACTACATACTTCAAATTTCCAATCTTTCACAGCACATTAACAGAATTATTAGGAAAACTGGACTACCACGACCAAAGATGTTACAGAGTGCACACAATTCTGACAGGGAGAGCAACAATCAAAGAGTGGTTTTTCTTAGGAAACAATACTACGAAAAAACATAATAGAAGTAATTTAAAATATTCAAGGCACATTAAATGCATGACTGTGACTCCAAACTGCCATTTAGTATGCTTTGTATTCAGGATATAAAACTACCCACCCTCCCCCACCTATGGAATGTTAAGCTGACACACAAGAGAGTCA